GAACCTTTCACCATCCAGGGCCTTGGAAATAGTGGACTGCTATGTGAACATCCATGTGAACAGCAGACTGGACTGGAGGGACAACAATAAAGCTGTGAACAAGAAGAGCATGAGGAGACTCAAGACAAGGAGAGGAGACGTTTCTGAGAAAACTCAGGCCTTTCAATGTGTGCAACAAGTTCCTGGAGATGTTCTCCCAGTCTGTGGAGGCCAACACCCTGGACTTGTCTGTGTTCTGCTGGAGGAGCAGCTCCAGGAAAAGACAAACTGATGTGTAAAGCTGCTCACGTGATCGACTCTGAGCTGGACACATTTATCCCAGTGAGGGACACGAGGACACAAACTGTTCTCCATCATTTACACCATAGAGGGACAGATAATACTCCCTACAACTGTACAACAACTCAGCCTTATTAATCAGATAATACTCCCTACAACTGTACAACAACTCAACCTTATGTAACAGATAATACTCCCTACAACTGTACAACAACTCAGCCTTATGTAACAGATAATACTCCCTACAACTGTGCAACTCACCCTTATGGAACAGATAATACTCCCTACAACTGTACAACGACTCACCCAGTGCACCAGACTATAGAGGGACAGATAATACTCCCTACAATTGTACAACAACTCACCCTTATGTAACAGATAATACTCCCCTTTTTTTACTCTTTGTTATTATATTATGATGTGATGTGATGAGCTTGTGGATCAATAAAGTTTGTTTAAGTCTTAAAGAGTAAGTAGTGTTAATATTAAAGGAGACAGAATACAGACTTGGTTGTTCTCAGATTCTAAAATGTGACAGTGTCCTCCCTGCAAAATCTTTAAAGGGGCACTATGTAACTTTTTATGTTAGGGGTCTGTCGCCTGCTTGTTTCTATGGATGTCATTGCTCTACCTGGAATGTTCCACAGTGTGACATTAAACAGCTCTGCCTTATATTAATTCAATTACAGGTGGTTTTATAGTTCAAAAGTACCTAGAAAACAGACATTCTGATTGTGAGTGGAGTCACGTCTCCACAGATCTGACCTGTAACTTGGTCTGGTTTGGTCTCCATTCCAGTCAAAGCAATAACATCTCCATAGAGAAAAGCTTTTGACGGACCCCTCACCAGAAAAGTTACACCACAAATAAATAAATAAATAATAAATACATAAATAAATTAATACATTGATATTTGGATTTTAATTTAAAATATATCTACTTTAAATTGGTCTAAATAATATGATATAAACATAATTATCAATGGTTGTGTGCATATATGTAAATAGTGTAATTCTGCATATAATACATGGTCATACAAACAACAACTAGCATCCTAACAGAGCACCAGCCCCACCAGCACCAGCCTTGCTTCCTGGTTTGTGGATGACTGTAACACTTTGATTAGACTTAAAAGCTGCTTTTACAACTCGGGAAAGACAACTTTTACTTAATTACATGAAAAACTAGAAAAGCAGTCAGAGAGCGCAGACCTCCGCCAAGGACTACCCCCATTTTTATATAAATTGCGATAAAATCAGTCTTCTGGATCAGATCCGGATCAGCCTTTGGAATATGAAAGAGGATCCCATTGTCCATCCCTGAGTCAAATTTCATGGGGTTTGGTCAATAATTAACCGAGATATTGAGAAACAAAATTTTTGGCCCCATTTACCAGAATGTTAACTAAAATGTCAAAGTGATCAGAATCCAGGATTTCTTCCGGATCACCCCCAAAATTTCATCGAAATCGGTCCATAACTTTTTGAGTTATGTTGCTAACAGACAAACAAACAAACAGACAAACAAACAAACAAACAAACAGACAAACGCCGGCAAAAACATAACCTCCTTGGCGGAGGTAATAAGCCACCTTCCAGTGGAGAACCATGGGCTCAGAATTGGAGAAGCGGATCTTCATCCCGCCCACTTCACACTCGGTTGTACTCGGCAAAGCTCTCGATTTACTGCTCAATCTACGTTCCTCTCCTCACCTATGGTCATGAACTCTGGGTAATGACCAAAAGAACAAGATCGCCGATACAAGTGGTTGAAATGAGTTTCCTCCGCAGGATGGCTGGGCGCTCCCACATAAGTGGAAGAAAATGGATGGATGGATTTGGACTTTTGCAATTTCAGAGTCGGCTCTACAGTGAAACTACACTGAAAGATGATGAAACGCTGTATTGAAGCAGGTTTAGTTGATGCTTTTGATCAGATTTTGCAGCAGCGCACAAACAAACTCAGGTACTGGATTTAATTCCAATAAACCTAAAAACATGAGTACCTCTTCTCTGTCCAAACCATGATTGTGTGTTGTGATGTAATCCTGTGTGTGGACTCTCTGGGGCCCGTGGGCAGGGGCTGAGCAGAGGCAGATGGGAGGTCCAGTGTCCTGCTCCACAGAGACTGTCTCAAACTGAAACAACGCGATTACATCAAACCACGAGGTACAAGGGACTAATTCAACCCCTGTAATCGGATTGGACGGTTCTTTTCTGTAAAAAAATCCTAGTAGAAGTCTGCTTTGGTAAAGCTTGTGTCTGCCATGTCGTTTTAATCTATGACACCCGTGGATCATTATGAGAGAGACCAGCCCGAGGGAAATTCCAGTTTTACTGCAACAACATTTACACTGCTCTTCTCAGTCTCCTTTGTGTCTCAGTCAGAGGTCTCAGTGCAGATTAAGAGGAGGACAGGTCAGGGAGGGTCAGCAGGTCTGTGTCAGGGTAGTCTGAGGAGAGCCCTTTCTCTGTGTCTTGCAGCACCACAGCAGCCTCCAGGGGGCGCCAGGTGAACACAATAGGAAAGCCCTTGTACTTATGATGAAATGGTCCATTTCATTAAAGTATTTTCCCTGGAAGGTCTTCAATCACATTTGTTATAATGTGCAATTTTAAATTGCAATATTAATCTGAAATGACTTATAAACGAATATAATAATTATAAAACCAAGTTTGCTGACTTCAACATAAAAAAATAAATAAAATTGTGGTACGGTAAACGTCGTCACAACAAAGAGTCAGTGATTTAAGGTTAGTTTAAGTGTGATTAAAAACCCTGTCCTCAATTTTCCCCCTGGATCTGAGCAAAATGTGTCTTCCCCCAGATACAAGCAGCTCTAGAGGTCAAAATAAGTCTGCTGTGTACTGTCTAATTATAAAGCATTTCATTGTCTGAGTAGCAGGAAGTGCACATTAGCATCCTAGTTGTTGTTAGCAAAAGCCCGCGCTCGTCTCAGATCCGACTCCAGCGTCCGGCGCAGCGGCACCTCGCTGAAGGATTAGCCTCGGTGCATGTTTTAGGTTGATGCAGATTTGAGGCACAGTTGCAGAATGGATAATCTTATTCTCAGAAGGAGGTTGTGGGTTAGACTCCTGATCTCTCTGAGTGGACTTTGCATGTTCTCCCTGTGTTACTGTGGCAGAGTGGTTAGCCTATGTCTCCTCCATATCTGAAATACAGGGAGTCCCAACAAAATTGACATCATTTTAAAAGCAATTATCTTGAAAACAACTAAGTCTAGATCGATGAAAGTGGACAGTTTAGGTGTTGAACATCAGAAGATTATTATGGGACTGTGTTTGCCAGTTGGTGAAGTTTTTCCAGCTTTTGCATTGAAGCTGCACAGTGTTGGTTGAATGTGTGTGGAGCAGATTCCAAAACGCAAAACGACTTCTCTTTGGGAGTGAACAGCTCAACCTGAAAACAGAACAAAAATAGAATGTAAATATAAAATCATGATCTGTTTCTGTACATTCTGTGAAAATTTGAGGTTCTTTCAACAAGAACTGCCAAAATTTAAAATGATTAATAATTGAAATGATGTAGATGTTTTGGGACACGTTGTATAACAGTGTATTTACATGATCTTTAAAGGTGCATTGTGTAACTTCTGTGGTGGAGGGTCTGTCACCTGCTTATTTTTATGGAGATGTCATTGCTCTACATCAGGGGTGTCAAACATATGGCCCAGGGGCCAGATCCGGCCCTCCAAGACCTTTAATCTGGCCCTTGGCTGATTTTCTTCTAAAATATTTTAATTAAATTTTCTATTAAAATATTGGTAATTTTCTGCGGTGCTGAGCATATCAGCGTCTCCAGCGTCTCTGTACGTGGCCCCTCCCACCAGAGCAGCACAAATGAAGACTTGGCTTTTTCCAAACGCTCTTTATCGTTTTGTTAAAACATTGTGTTGAAATTGCATTTTTAAAGTTTCAGGTTGTTCGTAATATTATAATATTTTGTAACAGAAAGAGTTCATCAATTAAAAACGATTTCTGTAATAAATTTGTGTTTCTCTGCATAAATATTTGAACTTATTGTTATTTTATGACATTAAACAGCTCTACCTTACATTTATTCAATTACAGGTGGTTTTTTAAAACTCAAAAATACCCATAAAAACAACATTCTGACTGTGAGCGGGGTCGCCTCTCCACAGATCTGACCTGTAACTTGGTCTGGTTTGGTCTCCATGAAGATGAAAAGGTTTAATGCCACACTGTGGAACATTCCAAACAAAACAAAAACATCTCAGAAAAGCATTTGACAGAAATGTTCCACAATGCATCTTTAACATGAGATTACAGACATTTTTATTCATATGTGGCAATGTTGAAACAAATGTAAACACTTGTAGATACAGGATTAAAATTGGTAGTCCGCTCTAATCTTTTGTATTGGTGCACGCGTAGGAGTCCTGCTGCATAATTTGCTTTTTGAAATGGATAATATTACATGGAGCGATTTGAGAAAGGGGAGGAGCAAAGTACAGAAGGATGGACTCAGTTTTTCAATCTTTTTTTGGAGAGAGACGGGGACGGCGAGGAGCGGAGAGGAGAGACGCACGACAACATGGAGCCGAGTTCGTTTTGCCGCGGCTGGAAAATGTGTGTTTACCGACCCAAGAATCCCAAAAGGAAGACCAAGATTACGGAGATGCAGAGGGAGCCGGCGGGATTATAAACGTGGATTAGAGCCGTGCGCTGTAAAACCGGACCATGAGGCTGAGGCACGGGCGCAGGGCGACGCTCGCGCTCACTCTGAACTTTGTGGCGTTCGCGTTCGCCTTGTCCGCCGTCACCACGAGCTACTGGTGCGAGGGGACCCGGAAAGTGGCCAAGCCCTTCTGCACGGGGCCCCCTCTTAAGGTGAAACAGTGGTACTGCATCCGCTTTAACAGCTCCAACGTGAACGACTCCCGCCTGGTGCAGTACATCTTTGAGACCGGAGAGGAGAAGTTTCTGCTCAGGAAGTTTCACACCGGAATTTTCTTTTCCTGTGAACAAGCTGCAGATATGAACGGTAAAGATTTTAAAACAGGGACTTCACCACGTCGTATAAATCAGGGGTGTCCAAATTTTTTTCATCAAGGGCCACAAATCTAAACACAGAAGAAGCAGAGGGCTGATCGAGGGCCGTAGACTGATGCTCAGTACAGTGAAGAATTTAAATATGTGCAGGTTTAACACGTTAGAATGAGTCATCAGTCTTTATTCATGCTAAGATTCTTAAAACCACACACTAAATATTAAATACAGGCTTTATCAAGGTAGATTTTCAAAAAACTTGCAGTTCATTTTTAATTGATGCAAGGTCATTTGGACCAATTCACCTGGAAGCCTGAGGGCCAAGAAAAAATTTGTCTGAATGCCGCATTTGGCCCACGAGCCGTAGTTTGGACATGTCAATGATATTTAACGCTCCAATCTTACACAAAATGAACTCTTGTGAGCTTTAAGTCATGTTTAGGGTGACCAGACATCCATATTTACCCGGGACAGTCCCAGTTTTGAGTCCTGTGTCCCCTGTCTATGGAAACTCAGAGGGGTCACAACACAACGCAAACGCCGCAAAAAATACAAATGCAACAACACAACAAAAAGCCGCAACAAACCAAAAAAAGCCACAACGGAAATGACCACGGGACTCTATTTTAATGCAAATGCCGCAACAAATACAAACACCACAACACAAACGCAAAAGCCACAACACATTAAAAAGCTACAACGGACGTGACCGCGGGACTCTATTTTCTGACGGACCAATCAAGCAGCAAGTGAAGAAGAAGAACTACAACGTGAAATGAATAATGATAAAACAATAAATAGCTTTTACTTACGTTTCCAACTTCTTCGTTCCTTTACTTTCCAGGTTGTAGTTCTTTTTCTTCACTTGCCGCTTGATCGGTCCGTCGGAAAATAGAGTCCCGCGGTCACGTCCGTTGTGGCTTTTTAATGTGTTGCGTCTTTTTGATGTGTTGTGGCTTTTTAATGTATTGTGGCATTTGCTTGTGTTGTGGTGTTTGTAATTGTTGCGGCGTTTGCATTAAAATAGAGTCCTGCGGTCATTTCTGTTGTGGCTTTTTTTGGTTTGTTGTGGCTTTTTGTCGTGTTGTCGCATTTGTATTTGTTGCGGCGTTTGCGTTTGTTGTGACCCCTCTCAGCTTCCGTACCTGTCCCTACAGATTTATCCAAAACCAGTGATTTGTCCAAGTTTTATACAAGAAATGTCCCAGTTGTCCCTATTTTTGATCAATCTGATCCCTGCCTACAGAAAAGAGAGACATAAATTGTCTTTTGTTTCGGTAAAATACAGAAAAACCTGCTCAAAAACGACAAAAACACAAAGAAAATGTGACTATACTGACTCATAAATGGGCCGAGTGCAGAACAATTTTCCTTAATTACTAGAGATGTAATGATATCCAAATCTCTCGGTACGATAATATCACGATATGCATCTCACAATATTTTATATTTATTTCAATATTCTAAAGAGGTTAATATAATTGTAAATAGGACACTTTTTTTGCTTTTAAAATATCTTGATATGATTTTTTGGTGTGAATTATTTCCATCATAATGACAAGAATTCAAGTCAAAAAACGTATTTCTTCATGTTGCCTGTGCTGAAATGAATCATGGGATATGTAGTTTCTGATGTTTATAAGCTGTTGCTACTATAAAACAATGCATTTAATCAAAGGAATTGTAAATCGATATATTGTTACAGTCCACGATATTATTGTGAGACTTTTGATGATACGATATTTCGGGTATTTTTACATCCCTATTAATTGCGCACTTGTTTCACAATTTTATTATTACCAACCATCCAAAAAAAATTGGAATGTCCAAATTTTTTAGTTTGAAATTCTGGTCACCTTAGTCATGTTATTATGATGTTACCTCCACAAAAACAGACCCAGTTGTGAGAGTTGTGTTTTGTTTATTGTTCAATCACACATGTTTGAGTAACTCTTTATTATCTGTCTATTCAAACTCAAAAATGCTCTGTTCCATTTTGTGATGTCATGAAGTGGTATTTTTCAAGTGAACATCTCCTTTTACCTACCTTAGTTCAGTAGAGATTTGCAATTCCAGGTCTGAAATCATCCAACTGATTCAAATGAAGCTGTGTGGAGTTTAATAACACACTAGAGTGCTTCCTGTATTACTGTATGACATCACAAGGTGGAACAGACGGAGGGAGACTCCTTCACTGAATCCGTCAGAGTCCAGATCCCGAGCACCTCGCTGAAGGATTAGCCTCGGTGCATGTTTTAGGTTGATGCAGATTTTAGGCACAGTTGCAGAATGGATAATCTTATTCTCAGAAGGAGGTTGGGGGTTAGACTCCTGATCTCTCTGAGTGGTACTGTGGCAGAGTGGTGAGCCTGTCCTTTTAAACTAAAAACAGACTTCAGATTAGTGCACTCCAGGTGACCAGTTCATTTCAATATTTACAGATATTTGCCCATTCTTTTTTGTTTGTTTGTTTTTTTCTGATTGGACTGAGTTAACTGTATAGAAACTGTACAGAAAAAGTGACATATTTTTATTATCAACATTATTCCAGCTTGATTAAAAATGAGCATTTGTCCACTCTGCCACCTGCTTGTCTCCATGGAGATGTTACACTTCTCTTTTTATCTTACAAAAGAAACACATTTTCTGATACTTCCGAACATTATTTCAACAAAATAAAGGTGCTTTCATTTTTTTTTACTTATATATATAATTTTGGCCCAGTGTCACTGCAAAAAGCTTGGCCAAAATGTAACATATAAACACTTAAATCAGAAAATGACTTAAAGTAGTGAACTGATCTCTCCATGCAGCAAGATCATTTTACTAAGCTAAAATATATGACCTTTAGACTAGAATGAAGCATTTCTGGTCTAGTAAGTAGACAATAAATCTGAAAACAAGATGAATAAGCTGATATAAAATTTAAAATCTTTGCAGTGTGCATTACGGTCGCTTGGTGACAGTTGTGGAATTCCCTGAGTCTGATTTACAACCAAGAAGAAACATTTGAAAATTAAGGCCTAAATATAATGACCTTAAAGGGACAGTCTGGAATTTTGGACATGGGGCCTCATTTCCTAGTGGTCCAGAGTGTTGGAGACGTGTGGAGACACTTTCTGAAATATTCCATCCAGTCCTTGTATTTGCAGAGGTCGTTGGTGCTAAGCTAGTGCATGTCAATGGCCATAGTTAGCCTGCCGTTAAAAACAGTCTTACCCACTCCACAAAACACCCGAAGAAAATCTATTATTACACCAGACTGTCAATGTGAATGTCTGTGTCGATAGAATAATGTCTGAAATAAAACTAACCTTGCATCGCATGAACTGTTGCATGTTGAGGGACTATTTTTTTCATATATCAGTCCGCCGCTGCCCAGCTTTCTATCAGGAAGTACAACTCGCTGCTGCTGCTCAGACAGAAATCCTTCAAATGCAAGGTTGATTTTACTTCTAAAATTATTCTATAAACACAGACATTCACATCAGACATTCACATCATCAGTCTGGTGTCATAATAGATTTGCTTTGGGTGTTTTTAGTGGCAGGCTAACTATGGCCATTGACATGCACTAGCCTAGCACCAGCGACCTCTGCAAATACAAGGACTGGATGGAATATTTCAAAAAGTGTCTCCACACGTCTCCAACACTCTGGCTCAGTAGGAAATGAGGCACTATGTCCAAAATTCCGAACTGTCCCTTCAAGTGTGTTTTAGTCAGATGAGTAGTCCAAACTGTCAGCAGTGTCTGTGTAACTGTCGTGTGTCCACAGGGTTCGACTGCCGGGATTTCTCAGAGATCGCTCCTGAACATGAACGAGGTCAGTTAAAGATTCGCTCTGAAACTTTTATCACAATAATTATTTCATTTTTTTTCTCAAATGTTAATGCAATGAACGAGACCCCATTTGTTCTAACGGGAGCTTGTCCATAGTCAGAACAGGTGGTGTGGGGTTAAATGGAAAAGCCTTTGGACAAGTTCATTTTAACTATAAAGTGAAAATAATCTAAAAAGCATAAGGTGTAACAAGTGTCAACGTGAGAATCAGAATAGTTTAAGGTCCAATATTCCATAAAGTGACTCTTGTGAGCTTTAAATCCTGTTATGTTGTCACCTCCTCAAAAACAGACCTTGATTTGTTGTGTTTTGTTTCATTACTAGTAGACAGAGACATGCCTGATTCATCGGCCGGTTTCACTTCGTAGAAACCGTCTGACTTCACAGCATTAGGATTCGTTCGGGTATTTGTAATGCACCGCTAATGAGGCTAACTGGTATATTAAGCTTTTCCCAAATCCTGTAGGAAGAAGGACAATAACGTCTTTCTCCTTGATAAAATTCACCAAACATTCTCTTTATTTCAGCTTTAAATCCTCAATCTCTGGAATTATTGACAACACTGAATATATGGCTGTTTGCTGATTGGCTGATGCCCGCCTATTGTATTTTGATTTCTGACCTAGTCGCCGGACAGAAATGAAATTGAGCGGAGGCACTAGGTGGTGCCAGCCTGACTAGATAGAAACATGCACATTCAACAAAAATTGCGAGTGCCCGCTGGGTCCAAGGTCAAAAATTGTGAAAAAGAAGAGATGTTTATTTCTGTGACACCACAGTGTGATGTTTTGGGTGGAGCTTTTCTTCAGACATGAAAGGTTCAGTTTCACCCCTGTTTTATAGACCCAGGTCTAGTCACCTGACCCACCACGTGATCAGTCCCAATAAAAGAAAATGTTTCATTACAACTATTGAATCGAATCTTTAGTACAAAACAGGAGTTGACTCTGTGGTGAATTATTTTACCACAGCCAAAAGTATTTATACTATTTACAATTTATATACAATTAAAAAACACCAGAACATAATATTTGCATCAGTACTGTAGACTAGAGGTCTGGGGAACAGAATTTTCAGTCACGCTCCCGCCCGCATCTGCAATATTTTGTCCCACCCCAGCCCGCAAATCCCGCAAGATGGACGTCCTCTTTCTTAAGTTCTATCAAACACAGAGAAGCATTAAGGAATTGTGTAAAATGTGTGTGAGGTTAGAGCATGTCCACAAGTTTAGTCTGCTTAAAATGTTTTTTATAAAGGCCAAATAAAATATCCAGCACAAATGATGTATGAAAGGCAAACATGAATCATTTATATATTTTACTTTACACTTACACATTTAGTGGGACTGCAATTTATCCCGTGTTGTGTAGTCCTCCTCCCACCCACACTCGCAATGACCTTTCAAAATGTGTCCCATGCCACTGTGTTTTGCGTCAGGTCCCGTGGGTGCAGGAGCTACTGCAGACATGGAAGTATCACTGTAGACACACATACAGCCACACACTGGACTGATGATGTCAACATTTTGAGTCACAAAAACGGCAAAACCTTCATTGAGACCTTTTGAATCCATGTATCATTCATTTTTCAAAATAAAACCAAAAATAAGAAAATGAAAAAACAACTGTTTTCTTCATCTCCAAAACCAAAATGAAAAAAAAAAACAGATAACGATTCATTTTTTTCAGTTTTCGATTTTGTGTTTAAATGAAGAATGGATAACGGCCGTTTACGTGAGTTCCGTGACTGCGATGTCAGAATTTTTGCGCTGCATACGAACTGAACCAGGACTGATCCAGGTCCGAGACCAGACCAGATGTGAATGAAACAAAACACAGGTCCAGGTCAGTTTGCAATGAGGAAACAACATTAGAACATAGATCATAAAATAGCGTAGTATGGGCTCTTTAAAACATGAGATTAATCTGACAGGTTTGTGGAGCTGATCCCAAACAAATAATGGTTGAACATTTGTGGATCAGAAGTTTGGAGATTTCCTTCAGAAACAGTCCCATAGAGTGATAGCGCCCCCTGCCTTCTGAGTGAGACTGTTCCCTCCTCTTGTGTTTCCCCTCAGGAGTGCTGTGGCTGTGCATCGTGGCAGAGTCTCTGTACCTGTCTCTGCTCTTTACCGGAGGCGTCCTCATGGTCCTGGAGCAGTGTCCCTGTTTCAGCCTCATCAACAAACTCAAGCTCAGTGCCTTCGCTGCCCTCTGCACGGCCGCCTCAGGTACCGCAGCTGTTTACACACACGCAATAAGCTTTATCCACGCTTATATCACAAACCAGGAAGATGTTTGGAAACATGCAACGACGACTTCCGGACCGACGGGCTCTGTTCGCAGTAGTAAGTCTGAAAAAATGTAGGAAAAATTTGAAAATGTCCCAGTTTTCTTCATCTCCATGTCATTGTGGCGTTCCATTATTACGGAAGCCGAGAGGGGTCACAATAAACGCAAACGCCGCAACAAATACAAATGCGACAACGCAACAAAAAGCCACAACACACCAAAAAAAGCCACAACACACCAAAAAAAAGCCGCAACGGAAATGACCGCGGGACTCTATTTTAATGCAAACGCCGCAACAAATACAAATGCCACAACACAAACACAAATGCTGCAACACATTAAAAAGCCACAACACATCAAAAAGCCACAACAAACCAAAAAAGCCACAACACACCAAAAAAGCCACAACGGAAATGACCGCGGGACTCTATTTTAATGCAAATGCCGCGACAAATACAAACGCAAATGCCACAACACATTAAAAAGCCACAACACATTAAAAAGCCACAACACATCAAAAAGCCACAACAAAAGTGACTGTGGGACTCTATTTTCTGGCGGACCGATCAAGCGGAAAGTGAAGAAGAAGAACTACAACGTGAAAAGTAAAGGAATGGAGAAGTTGGAAACATAAGTAAAAGTAATTTATTGTTTTATCATTATTCGTTTCAGGTTGTAGTTCTTCTTCACTTGCCGCTTGATCAATCCGTCGGAAAATAGAGTCCCCCGCTCACTTCCGTTGTGGCATTTGTACTTGTTGCGGCATTTGCATTAAAATAGAGTCCCGCGGTCATTTCTGTTGTGGCTTTTTTTTGTTTGTTGTGGCTTTTTGTTGTGTTGTCGCATTTGTATTTGTTGCACCATTTGCGTTTGTTGTGACCCCTCTCGGCTGACACTGACACACAACTCTGGGTACATGTGATTAGAAGAGATGATTCCAGATGATTCCAAACAGCACAAACATCTGCAGTCTTCATTTTATCGCTGATCACATTTACTTCAGTGGGTTTGATCTCAGTTGGTCGGCGAGTCCAGTGTCGGGAACTAAACCGGAAGTTGTCATCACATGTTTCCAGACGTCTTCCTGGTTTGTGACGTAAGCGTGAATAGAGCTTATTTTACGCTATAGAGAAGCCACAGGAGTCTAACCCACAACCTCCTTACTCTCCTGTCTGTGTCCTCCTCTGAGTCAGGAGGTTGTGGGTTAGACTCCTGATCTCTCTGAGGGGAGTTTGCATGTTCTTTCTGTGTTACTCTGGCAGAAATATATTAGTGTTGTCATTTGAAAGATGCATTGTGTAACTTTTTGTTTGGGGGTCCGTCATCTTTGTTTGTGTCTATGGCGATGCCATTGCTCTGCCTGGTAACTTGGTCTCCATGATGATAGAAAGGTTTAATGCTATACTGTGAAACATTTCCAGACAAAGCAATAGCATCTTCATGGAGAAAAACATCTGACGGACCCTCCACCAGAAAAGTTACACAATGCACCTTTAAAGATCCTAAATTATGCAAAATAGACTTTTGAGTTCAAGTTCAAAATTTATTGTAAATTCTTCATACAAATATACAAAGAATCAAAAATCAAATCAAAGTGTTCTTTGGGGGGGTTCTGTTCTTGGGGAGACACAGATTCCTGCTTCCTGGCTGATGGTTAGAGAGGGTAGAGAGTTCAGCATCCTAACAGCCTGGAGCACGAAGCTGTTAGTCTTGTGGTGCAGGAACAGAGGCTCCCGGGTGGTGTATATACGGATGAGGAAGGTGGTGTATATGCGGGTGAGGTGGGTGGTGTGTATGCGGGTGAGGCGGGTGGTGTGTATGCGGGCGAAGCGGGTGGTGTATATGCGGGCGAGGCGGGTGATGTATATGTGGGTGAGGCGGGTGGTGTATGTGCGGGCGAGGCGGGTGGTGTATGTGCGGGTGAGGCGGGCGGTGTATGTGCGGGTGAGGCGGGCGGTGTATGTGTGGCGAGGCGGGCAGTGTATGTGCGGGCGAGGCGGGCAGTGGATGTGCGGGTGAGGCGGGTGGTGTTTATGCGGGTGGTCATGATGGTGGTGAGGCACTTGCCACTTGGAAGTAGAGGCACTGCAGGAATTTCAAAATGATTCTAGTGAAGATGTGTGGAGTTTAAAAACACACTGGAGCACTTCCTGTATTACCACATGACGTCACAGGGAGGAACAGAATGTTTTCTGTTTGAGAGAAGACCTGAGCGTAAATGTGCGGGTTTGTGTGTTAAACGTGTGAAAGAAACAAAACACAACTCCAGGTCTGTGTGTGATGAGGAAACTACATTAGAACACAGATCAGTAAATAGATATGAGCCGTTAACTGACGACTTCACTCCTCCGTCGTGTCCCTGGTCAGATGTGGACTCTGGGGCAGGTCAGCGGAGAAGTGGCGGCCGCTCTGTCCAGGAGGCGGAGGAGGATTTGTGTTTGTGGATTAATCCGATTGGATCCGTGTTTTTGGGTTGTGTCAGGAGCCCCACCCCCCCTCTCTCCCTCCCGGATAATCCCAGGAAGAGCAGCTCGGCCCGGGCATGATGAGCCACACGTAGGGGCCACTTCACTGCCCCCTCCAGGATCACCGCGGAGGGAGGGACAAACGGGGGCCACGGGAGGGTTAGAGGCTGGAGAATGTGTGGAGCAGGGGTCAATATAATAATAATGTATATGGTCAGTACATGGATGCGAGACGTCTGGGAGGATCAGGTGTCATAATGGGGTAGCAGTGGCTCTAGTGGAAAGGTTGTGTCTTTAAGCAAGACATTTCACCCACCTTTGCCTCATCTGAATGTGTCTGAGTGGTGTGTAAACTTCAGAAGTACTAGTAACTTTCCACCAGAAACGTGATCTTTTATCACGAACAGCCTACTTTCAGACGGGTTGGGAGTCTCGGGGGTTCAGAAGTGAGGGTTTTGGTTTAGTCCTGGTTTAGGTCTATGTTCATACTTTCACCTATGGTCATGAACTTTGGGTAATGACAGAAAGGACAAAATGTTGGATACAAGTGTTAAATGAGTTTCCTCATTTAACAACAGTTCTGGGCGCTCCCTTAGAGCAGAGGTGGGACCTGCAAGTCATGACTTGGACTTGAGTCAGACTTGAGTCACTATTTTTAAGACTTGAGACTTGACTTGATAAAATGGACTAAGACTTGGGAGTCGACTTGGACTTGAAGCTCAAAGACTTGTTGCTAATGCTTCTCCTAAAAAACATGTGCTTTTATAAAATATTTTTCTCTTTACAGTTGATACATGTGGTGATTCATTTTACAGGAACAAACTGGAACATGTTCCTCACACTTCTGTTTGGTACTTTGGATGTAACTGAAGTACTGTGAGATGGTATCATCAAATGTACTACTGTAATATACAATACAATACAGTAATATACAGTAGAATACAATAATATACAGTACAATACAGTAAAACAAGGAACTACATAAAACATGATCCTTCCATTTCAGTGCAGACTACATGAGATAATAACTGTTATGAAGCACTTTTAAATCTGAATTCTTTCTATTCTGATCACAATGATTCACACTAAGGTCTTGACAAATGTCAAGAAAAATGAGCATTTCTACAACTCTGATATAAATACTTTTTATCTACAATCTAGTTTAAAAATCATATATATTGCAAAAATCTAACGACTTAAAATGACTTGAAGCTCAAAGCAGACGACTGGGACTTGACTTGGACTTGAGGTCAAAGACTTTAGACTTACTTGAGACTTGCAAAACAACGATTTGATCCCACCTCTGCCTTAGAGACAGGGTGAGGAGTCAGCCACACGGGGTGAGCTCGGAGTAGAGCTGCTGCTCCTCCACGTGGAGAGGAGCACTGGAGGGACTCAACATCTGTGACCAGGGAACGCCTCAGATCACTGTAGTGTCTGGGCAGAGAGAAGTCTTGACTGCTCACTTCTTTCATAGTTCTTTTCATTTCTATTTCAGATGTGTGGAATGGTGACTGTAGTGTCCTTAGCTGAATAATCGTACAGATGAGTGTGCTTTTTCCATGTATTTATTTTCTGTGCACATAAGTCACTGTAAGAGCTAAAAACATAAACAGTGGTTCATTTTACATCAGTCACAATTATAAGTCATACAATATACACAACACAAATACCTTTTTTCCCCTTCAAGCTAGGAGCTATTGAGTATTCCACCTTCCCATCCCCACCGTGACACCTTTAAATCTCATCAGGAAGAAAACCAGAAGTGACACTAGCATTACTAGACTATTTCAGATTCATTTTGATGTGGATCTATAAGTGAAATGGTGAGAGAGATAGGGGGGTTTAGTTCCTTTGTTAGTTTAATGTCAGTTGGGTTAATTGTTTTAGTGTCGTTTTTATGGTTCAAATCTTTGTCAAAAGATAGCGTTTACAATAGCGTTATCTGAAGTTGCTGCTTTCTTCCAAGAGAGACAACGGAGGAGATTCCTTTGTGATTGTTCGTTGGCAAATCCACCTCTGTAGTGAGTCTCCATGTTGTGAGGCTCCCACTATACTCCATCCCAGATCTGTTTGAATTGCATATGGTTCATCATCGCCTCCAGTGATAAATTGTCAGTAGGATGACTCCATCTCCTTGCCGTCTCACAGGTACGTATACGAGTGATGTCAAGTGGTAAACAATCCTTAGTGTAGGTTACTGATAAATCAATTTTTTATATTAGAATCATATCCTCTGACACAAAGATCCAAAACTCTTTCACTAGGAACCACCATTCCTGTAGTCCTCATTGTGGTCAACTTCAGTTTTACAGCTCGTTTGTCAGTGTCCAATAAATCAGCTATATTTTGATTAATGAATGCAGTGTCACTTTGGAGCACATATACTAGTTTCTTGTTCGCTGGATTTTTCTTTGAAGACACCCATACTGGCAATATCATAAAACTTAAGAGGGTCGCATTTGATGCCACACGACATGATGTAGCTCTAGTGTCTTCCCCCCGTCATATGTCATGACACAAATGCCTTTGCCTACAATCAGTCACACCATGTCCATATTTGAGACAGCCATAACACAAGTTTTTTTTTTCCTTAATATATGTTCTTCTTTCCTTGAATCTAATGCATGTAGGTAGCTGGTGGTCCGCTTCCTTACAAAAGAGACAAGCAAACCCTTGGATTCTTGTCCTTTCCATGGCAGTTTGAGTCCTTAGGATATTGGCTCTTGGTTTTCTTAGTTCTGATTGGGTTCTTGGGTATCAGTAGAATATAGTGTGTGGGGAGAAGTAATAGGGTTGCATGCTATATCTATTTCAAGACTGATGAAGGTTACAGAGTCCTTAAAACCTGGGAAGATGTTTCTGTCCCTTAAGCTTTGGATTACCTGCCAGCTAGCAGTAGCCCAATCTAGTAGTTTTGAAATTAATTTTTGGTTTTCTTCACAATCATTCAAAATTTCCAGTCCTGTGACATGCCACATTTTTTCTAGACAAGTGTTGAGAAAGAGTAATTTTAAGAAGTAGTCCTTCTGCATCTTTGGGATGGATTTTGGGCCAATTAATGATGCATTCTCAGACGGCTCTTTGGATTGTGAATGGATGACCAAATCTTTAATTTTCCCCATGCATCTGAGAAGGCTTCATTGTCAAGGCAAATGTTCCTTCCAAAACATGTCTGGCTGGGCCAATTACTTATTTCTTGAGATAATAGAGTTTTTCAGCTGGGTCAGTGGTTTGGCTAATGGTGTCAAAATGTTTTAATGCATTAAAAATAGGCATAAATGTGAACAGTTTGGCTTGACATAGCGGATACCCTGCTATACGGGATCGCCGTTCTCTCTATCTCTCTATCTCTCTCAAGTTCAAGATTAGTCCTGGAGTAGTTCTGGATCATCAGTGTCCGAATGGCAGCATCAAAGTGTCGGAAAGGGGGCATGTCTGGGTGGAGGTTTGTTGGAATGACAGTATTGGGGTGGGGGTCTGCACTGGCACCCCCCCATTGGTTGTTTGTTTTCCCCCAGAAAGGAGCGGGAACGTCTTTCACCAGTCAAGTTCCCGGATGTGCCGGTCTAACGTATGTTTCCAAACGTAGAGCCTAGAATGGTTTAATAGTTAGTTTTCTCACTGTTTCAGGCCTGTGTGGGATGGTGCGCTGTAGTTGGTTTAATAGTTGTTTAATAGTTAGTTTTCTTGTTGTTTCAGGTCTGTGTGGGATGGTGGCCCACATGATGTTCACCACAGTGTTCCAGTTGGCCGTTGCCATGGGACCTGAGGACTGGAGACCAAAGACCTGGGACTACAGCTGGTCCTATGTGTGAGTGTCTCTCTCCACACACACAGAAAAGGAAAGAGCGTCAAAGATAATTCAGACACATGCACTTAAAGACACACCATGTAACTTTTCTGATGGGGGGGGTCCATCACCTGCTTGTCTCCATGAGAATGTTGTTTGTTTGTTGCCTGATATGTTCCACAGAGGGCTTTAAACATATTAATCTATTAATTACAGTGTTTTTATTGCTCAGAAATACATCGGAGAACATGTTCTTACTGTCACATGACCTAGAAGTGCCCCTGTGGCACCATGGAGAGTTTATTCTAGAGTTTATTCTGTACTAGGTAATATTCCAGGCAAAATAAGATCTCGCTGGAGACAAGCAGGTGTGGGACAACTCAACAGGAGAGTTGCATGGTGCAGCTTTAACTTCACATCATTTCAAATGGAAACTTTTTTTAACCTGTTTAAAATTGAAACAACTGAAAAACCTGTCTCTCTCTAAAGCTGAATTATTAAGAATTCTTGTCGACTATGAAAATAAATATCTAAAACCTTTCAACAGCAACATTACCTGTCATGCCCAAGCCCAGGTAAAGTCCTCATCTGGTCACCTGGTTTAGTCCTGGTTCAATCCTGGTTTAGTCTTGATGTAGTTCTGGTTTTGTCACCTCTTGTACCTGGTTTAATCCTGGTTTAATTCTAGTTCAGTCCTGTTCCATTGACGTGGAGAATTATTTAAGACCCTCCACCTGTGAGGTTCTGATGACGCCTCGCGCCCATTGATCGTTTTGATTGATTTGGTATTTGAGTCTGGCTGGTATGGGCGCCTTGTACATAGTTCACACAGGTGTGTTTTTGTTTGAGCACTTGATGGTGTCAACATCTCATTTGAATTACAGCCTGTTTGATCCTCTTGCGGTGAGTCCCATACATATGGAATATGGAGCTGGGTGGAGAGATAGTCTCTTCACTCAGAGAACCATGGTTACATACTGTCGCATACCTTGTTTAGTCCTGGTTTAATCCTGCTTTAGTCCTTGTTTAGTTCTGGTTTAATCCTGCTTTAGTCCTTGTTTAGTTCTGGTTTACTCTTGATTGGTCATATTCAATCACCTCATTATCCTTTTTTCATTCCTGATTCTGATCGAATCTTTTCCATAATCCTGGTCCTGATCCTGGCCTTGATCTTGATCCTGGTCTTGGTCTTGATCCTGGTCTTGATCCTGGTCTTGGTCCTGATCCTGGTCTTGATCCTGGTCTGGTCTCTCCACAGTCTGGCCTGGGGCTCCTTTGGGACCTGTATGGGGTCTGCAGTCACGGCTCTGAACCGTTACACCAAAACCATCGTGGAGTTCAAGTACAAACGGAGAAACATCGCCAAAAACCTGGTCCTCAAACAGAAGCTCCTGGAGCTGGACCTACTGGACTACGACCCCTGTGACCCCTACAACCCCAAGATGACCTATGACCCTTGTGACCCTGAGGTCACCTTAGGTTGTAACCTTAAAGTGACCTGCGACCCCGACGTGACCTATGCCCCCTGCGATCCAGAGGTCATCTTCACCCCCTGTGACCCAGAGTGTGACCCCGACATGACCTATGACCTCGGCAACCCCGAGGTGACCTGTGACCTCCACCTCAACGGACGCCCCCTACAGGAAGTGCGAGTGAACTGACCATTATGGCGTCTGCTGTCCGAATGAAGGAGGTGCAAGGGGATACCAGATGCCCTGCCTGTCATATCCAGACACATGACACAGACTGGAGTGGACAGTAGGACAGAAGTGTCTTGCTCGAGGACACAACTGCAATAATATGCAGCTTGAGCAAATTTGAACCTGAAACCTTCTGTTGTGGAAAAAATAAGTATCTCTTGATGATAAATAATTAATCTATTTGTAAAGTCCAATGAGTTTTTGGGATACAGACAAAGGTTTGTTGTTGTTCCAGCAGATGTGGACAGAGTCTAGACCTGCCCTGGACTCAGACCAACAGCCTCTTAACCAGCAGTATGTCCCTCCCTCCTTAGATCTTCTCTCCATCTCCTGACTATCTCCCACCATCTCCTCAGAGCATCTCCTCAGAACATCTCCTCCAGAGCATCTCCTCAGAACATCTCCTCCAGAGCATCTCCTCAGAGCATCTCCTCCAGAGCATCTCCTCAGAACATCTCCTCAGAACATCTCCTCCAGAGCATCTCCTCAGAACATCTCCTCAGAACATCTCCTCAGAGCATCTCCTCCAGAGCATCTCCTCCAGAGCATCTCCTCAGAGCATCTACTCCAGAGCATCTCCTCCAGAGCATCTCCTCAGAACATCTCCTCCAGAGCATCTCCTCAGAGCATCTCCTCCAGAGCATCTCCGCAGAACTTCTCCCTAGAGCATCTGAGTATTTCTACAGAAATACATGGTGGTTTCATACATACCAAAGCAGAGTGAGCAGAGGTGTTTCACACACTTGTGCTTATCTTCCATTTGAGGACAGCTAAGACAACAAAGGGCTTCCTGAGGATGGGACAGTGTCTGCTGAGCCTTCAACCATGTTCATGAAGCTCTGGTCTCAGGTACAAATCACATTCATTTACACAAAGTCACACTGAGAGAAATCTTTGTACAATAGACATTTCTTGATGGACATCACACTGTTGTCCACTTATGACGTCCGCAGCAGACCTGTCTGTTCTATGGTGATTTGGCAGCTCTGTTTTATGCCAGATGCCCTTCCAGTCACAGCCAGGCTCATTACAGTGACTGGAGTTGACAATGTGAGTGAAGTGTCTTGCCCAATGACACAGAGACAGACTTCTGTTTTGGAGATGAACATGGGCAGACAGCTTTACAACTCACCAAAGACTCATCTTAAAACATGATGTAACTTTTCTGATAGAGGGTTTGTTATGAACTGGCTCAGGGTTCAAACAAGAGGAAGTCCACACATGTTCAAAAAGATTTACAAAAATAGGTATTTATTAAAAACATGTCGCAAATAAAGTGGATGCATCCTGGAGAGGAGAGAAGAGAAGGTTTGATCTCAACTTTTAAGGTGGTGGATCACGCCCACAATCAGGTACAGCTCATTAGGTTGACCCTCTCACTCTGGGATCTGGAGGGGAGAGAGAAAGAGCCAACAGCAGCACAAACACACACACAGTGTGCAGTCTGAACGTATCTGTAATGACCCCAAGAAGTAAACTGATGTAGTGAAAGACAAAAAAGCCAAGTACAAACACTCCCTCATTTTCCACACTTCTTTTTTTATTATATTTGTAAATGATGGTGACCAATGATCTTCAATTCACGTGTCACTGAAATAAAAAAAAAAAATCTGATTGGATGATCATCTGGTTCTGTCTCGAGATGTGACAGAGGGAGTGGAGATCAGCCTGAAATCCTTCTGTTAAAAATACACAGAGAGATCAGTCTGGATCTGACAGGCACCTGGTTTAGTCCTGTCTTAGACCTGGTTTAGTCCCAGTTTAGTCCTGTCTTAGACCTGGTTTAGTCCTGTTCTAGACCTGGTTTAGTCCCAGTTTTGTCCAGTTTTAGACCTGGTTTAGTTCCAGTTTAGTCCAGTTTTAGACCTGGTTTAATCCTGTTTTAGACCTGGTTTAGTTCGGTTTTAGACCTGGTTTAATCCTGTTTTAGACCTGGTTTAGTCTGGTTTTAGACCTGGTTTAGTCCCAGTTTAGTCCAGTTTTAGACCTGGTTTAATCCTGTTTTAGACCTTGTTTAATCCTGTTTTAGATCTGGTTTAGTTTGGTTTTAGACCTGGTTTAGTCCCAGTTTAGTCCTGTTTTAGACCTGGTTTAATCCTGTTTTAGACCTGGATTAGTTCTGTTTTAGATCTGGTTTAAACAAAACAAAATAGTGAAGCTAAAATTGGGTAAAAAGTATATTATTATAGCCCTAAATTATGTCAAAATGTAGTTTTGTCTGGTTCTCACAGGGTCTCACAGCTTGTGTCTTGTCTCATCCTGTGGAAATCTGTATCTCGTCCCACCCTCATTGATAAGTAAACTAAGAGCTCGTGCAAACTCGTCCTGGTTTGGTCCCATTTCAGATCTAGTCCTGGTTTGAACCTGATCTGGTCTAATCCTAGTTTAGATGTGTGTACACGTGTGAATGACCCATTAAATGCTCAAACACAGGACCAGTGGTGGAAAGTAGAATGTACAAAAGTACAAGTACTATTGTGAAGTACAAGTTTTAGGTATCTGTACTTAAGTATACTTTAGTGTATACTTTTTACTTTTACTTCTCTACATTTGAGAACGGGTATCTGTACTTTCTACTCCACTACATTTTTGAACTGGACTGAAAAGTAAAAAGTTCGTTCTTTATGGTTTGAGACCTGCTGAAATATCTTAGATTTTATTTTATTTTTTTTCAAATTTCTTTTGTTATAGTCCCAACTTTGAGCAAACCAAATACACAAAAATGGCTAGAAAAATAAAGAAACCAATTGAATCACTTAAATTCTTTTTCAAAATCACTAAATTTCATCCTTTAATTGCTCCTAAAATCTGCAAAAATACTTCTACGTTTTAAGTACATTTTTAAACAGGTGCTTTTAGTTTTAGATTTTTTACTTTTACTTGAATACACGTTTACCTTTGTATCTGTACTGTTAGTGCTGTAAGTAACAAAAGTGAGTACTTCATCCCACACTGCACAGGACACATTCATTATGAAGATTGGTTTATTTTGTTCCAATGTGGAAGAATTACAAAATTGCTGCATAAATTGAAGCATTAATGAATTACAAAAATATAATTAGGCAGTCACAGAGTTTTGGTTTCAGTCATTCTGTAGCTGCCCTCTTCATGACCGGATGAGCTCCGTGTACTTCTTCTTCGGGTTTTTCTGCAGATATTTGTTGATGTACCAACACGAGACTTGAGCCGTCAACTGCTCCTCCACCAAGAAGTCCAGAGCCGCCTGCAGACGACATGCACAGACGGGTTAAAGGCACAGTTATTCCTCACTTGTCTAAAACTCACTGTTCACCCCGAGGAGAATATAACCCTTTAGAGACCAGTGTGAAGTCTGGGTGTCACGTTAACAACTAGCATACTAACAACACACTTCCTGGTTTGAGAATAAAAAAAACTTCATAATTCGAGGCAGACAGCACTTTTGAACCTCACAGCTGCTTTTACAATATGCAACTCAACTGGCAATTTCAGTTGGCCATGTTGTGAACCTAAGCACCAAATCAAAAACAGACCAGGAGGTGTTTTCGATTGCACATTTTGGACTAATTCTGCTTTTTTTTTTGTGCTTTTGGTCAGAAGTGTAGCCATGATACTAACTATATCGACTTTCAAATTCAAAATAAGAAGTATCAGTTTTCACAGTTAATATTTCAGAGGTACTTTTTACTAGTGGGGAACTATTTTTCTGTACTATAAATTGAGAAATTGAAATTATACATACAAACTAAAGCGTTTCATTAGTTTATTTATTTCATTTTATTTTTTGCTTTCTTTTCAGCAATATAACACCCTTCAAAATTTGTTATCATGAAATCACAGTGCTTTACACAGAAACCTCTATGAACGAATAGACGAGTTTCAGCTGACGTCATTGTTATTAAAAGCCCGCGTTGCTGCTGGGAAATATTTTGGTCGGAGGCAAGAAACACGATAGCGTCAAACACAGTGTGTAACCTCGCGTATTTATCCCCGATAATGGTAAATTCCTGCTGCATTATCAGATGCACAAATAGAAGCACAGAAGAAGGAAAATGTCTTTTTCATATTCTGAGTGAAAAGAACCGCTAACGGTGAATTAAACGACTTTCAAACATTCGCAGAGCAAACGTAGAAGATCCTAACAAACCGTGGACTCCAACAAGTTCAACAACACATCGAGACTCTTGGAGGTTTTCATCTTTTCTGCTGTGAATGGCCCAGGAGTTTCCACCAAGTCATTGTGGATATCACCAAAGTGAATATTTGTCCAGGTAGTTGGTGATTCAGACCAGAAATTTGGTTTGGTCCACCTTTTTTTCGGGGTTGAAAAGGGTGATTTGGCTCCGTCGATGCTTATGACCAATTTCTGGTCAAATGGTCTTGGGTCCTCTGCCGTTAGAGTGGATAAATAACCGGGATCAATACCCTTTACGTGCTTTCTCGCTCCGTCCGTCATGTTGAATTAGTGTTTCTTGCCGCCGACCAAAATAATTCCCAGCATGCAACGTGCGCTTTTGTCAACAATGAAACTCGCCTATTCCTCTCCAAGTTTTTCAATAGACACGAGGGCTGTGCAAAAATATTCAAATATTCATACAGTATCGATATCGTGGGCTGCTGTATCGATATATCACCAAGAGTATTTTTTGGTTTATTTTGTCAAATTATTTTGTTACTGTGCTACAGTTTTGTTGTTTGTTTAGAGGAAAGAAACTTGTTTATGTGACACATTTGACATTTTCACTGTTTTGATGTTTAAATTGTTTGTGTTTCATATGAACTTTGCACAAGAAGTGGTTTAACAAAGACTTTTAGTATCACAGACATGATTTAGCCTTTATTTTTTATTGAACCATATCAAATCGGTTTGAAATATATCGTGTCAAATCGAAAGTGCACTGTATAGAGATATGTATCGTATCGTGGCCTATGTATCAAGGCATGTATCGTATCGGCAACTTATTAACGATACCCAGCCCTAACAGACACGCTTAAAATAGACACGTGATAAAACCACGGATTCAGGAGCAGCAGCATCTTCACAACCTGACAAAGTTTTCCATGGAGTACAGGACTCCAGTCGCATCTTCCGTGTCACTTATAGACAGCTGGATGTAACTAGGGCCGGGTATTATTAAGACGTTGCCGATACGATATATACCTCGATATATAGGCCATGATACGATACATTTCTAGATACAGTGCACTTTCAGTTCCATACGATACATTTCAAATCGATTCAATATGGTTCAATAAAAACTAAAGTCTAAATCATGGCTGTGATACTAAAAGTGTTTGTTAAACCACTTCTTGTGCAAAGTTCATATGAAACACAAACATTTTAATCCTCAAAACAGTGAAAATGTGAAATGTGTCACATAAACAAGTTTTCTTCCTCTGAACAAACAATAAAACTGTAGCTGTGACAAAATAATTTAGTAAAATAAACCAAAAAAAAAATACTCTTGGCGATATATCGATACAGCAGCCCACGATATCGATACTGTATCATCACATTAAAAGATATGACATACCAATATTTTGATATTTTTGCACATGCCTAGTTGTAATGGAATGCTGCAATGATATATTTTCTTTTTTTTTTTTTTATTAAGTTAACCAAATTATAATACACAAATGAATAGGCAACTTAAAAAAGGAAATGAAATGAAGGAAACTGGGCCATTTTCTCATTTTGTTGAGTTACTATCGCCAACAGAGCCCAAGGGAAGTTGTCATCCCCATTTTTTCCAGACGTCTGCCGGTTTTGTGATGTGATGTGTGTTTTGAGAATAGAGCCTATTCAAGTTTATTTAAAATGCACATTCAGAACAACTTCAGCCGACCAAAGTGCTTCACATAAAAGTCGACAAAAACAGAAGAAACTGATTTACAGAAAACTACAGTCAAACACCAAGATGTCCTAATTTAAAGTGAGTGTGTATAGTCTGATGAACACATGGTCACGGTACCTCGGAGAGCAGAGCGGCCAGCCCTCTCTCTCTGAACGCCTCTGGGACAAACGTGGACATGAGCTCCACCTGCTGGTCACCGGTGAATCTGTAGGACAACACCGCCTCCTGCCCTGGACACGAGGTAAGAGAGACGTCAACTTTATCACTCTTCAACAAAGCGAGAGAGACATTCACAATTACTAACTGTAGTTTTATGTTTAATATATTTACGTGACTGTTGGAGCTGAGAATGGACAATATAAGGTCTAAACGAGATCTAAACCAGGACTATCCCAGGTTTGTATCAAGACTAAACGAGGAGGGCATTTGTAATAACCATTTGTGGAAAGAGTACAGACAAAAAGTAAAAATAAAAGTACAGTTGCATGCCTGATGTACTCAAGTACTACTGTCAAAATTGTACTTCTGGTGGAGCGTCTGTTGCCTGTTTGTCTCCATGGAGATCTTATTGCTTTGCCTTTAATGTTCCACAGTATGACATTAAACATACATAGCATTTATTCATTACGGATGTTTCTGTTGCTCGAAAAATACAATAATTCCTTCTGTGAATAGGGGTGACTCTCCACAGATCTGAGCTGTAATAAAGCATAATGCTGTAACCTGCTAATCTCCCTTGTGATACTAAGGTTTAATCTACACTGTGGAACATTCTAGACAAAGCAGGAACATTTCCATGGAGACAAACAGGTGGCTGACCCTTCACTATAAATGTTACACACTGTGCCTTTAAGTAAAAGTATAAAATATGAATGAAAATACTACTATTACTTATCCTGATTCCATATGATTTTAGTAGTATTTTTAATCACTCTTTTACCCTGTATCAAACTAAACAAGGAGTAAAAGTGAAAAGACTAAACCAGGTCTGAACTAGGACTTACCCAGAACTAAACCAGTTCTAAATAAAGTCTGAAATTAGGTCTAGAATAGCCTAAACCAGGAGTGGGAAGTTATTTTTTCCATGAGGCCACATGAGAAACAGAAAATATTGTGGAGGCCAAAATGTTTAACTCAATTCTGCATAATATTAATTGCATTTATTTATAAAAAGCAGTAAATATCATTGTTTTGTTTTGCTCAGACTGGGAAGAGTTTATGTTTTGACTAAGCAATGGAAAAATGAGGTTGCCTTACAAAAATTTTTATTAAAAACATGTTTAAAATCAAAGCAATGCAGCTTTAGTCCATGCATGAGGTAAAATAATAAAATATGTTTCTTTTGTAATTCCAAATGAGCATAAATAGGACGGTCAGAGTCGACCAAAGTGCCGTATGTGGCCAATGTGGACAATGCCCAGGTCTGACATAACCCTAGGACTGTACCAGGTCTAAACTAAAACTAAATCCGGACTAGACCAATAAAAAAACTAACAGAAACCCAGTCTAAACCCAAGGGTAAACCAGGACTAAACCAGAAAAAAACACAGTAATAAACTAGATATAAAACAGGATTAAACTACATGCAAACCAGGACTTGCCCAGAAGGACTAAACTAGGACTAAGTCTGGACCAAGTCAGGACAGAATGGACTAAACCAGGTATAAATTTGGACTTCACCAAGACTAACCCAAAATTATTAAACAAGCAGCAGATTAAGAAAATACAAGAAACCAGTCAGGTCTAAAACAAGACTAAAATAGGCTGAGTGTTCAAATTATTACTATAAAATTACTGCAATAATTAATAAGCAAAATATGAGCAGTATTAGTTTAAAATTATAGCAATTTGTTTAGAAAATGTCTATCTAAAGACGTATGTCCCCGATATTCTTTCATTCACAACCTAAACCCAGATCCATGCAGAAACCACGCAGAACAGGCCGCAGTCAGACCCCGGTGTTTCCTGCTGCCTCTCAGCGGCCTCAGAGTGCTGTCCCCGGGCGGAGCTGCTTACCCTCCCCGTCGTCCGGAGCCACGGTGAAGCGCTGGTTCTCCCGGTCGTGTCGCACCTCAAAGCGGCCCGTTTTCCCGGAGACAGCGGTGCAGAAGGCCGCAGGACGCGTCTTAAAGCCCGGGCTGAGGCGTGCGAGTCCGGAGAGGAGTTTAAGAGACATTTATATGAGAAAAGTGTGGAGAAGACGTGCGCGCTGTGCAGACTGAAGTGTTGTTGTAGTGACAGAGGGGCGCCACTAGAGAGCGCACTAACCCGAGGAATGACGTGGCCTTGGCTCACGAAATGAAAACGAAAAACAATAAAAAGGGAAAACAGTTATTTCATTATACAAACAAACAACCTCTATTCCCAATATGTAATTTAGAGTTTATTTCAAATAACATAAAAAAAAAAAAAAAAAAAAAAAGAAAAAAGAAAGAAACACCATCACTGCGCACTTCACTCCCTGAAGTGGCCTTCACCCCACACCCACACACAAATCCATTGGTTATTGTCAGTGTTGGGAAGGTTACTTTTAAAATGTATTCCCCTACAGATTACAGATTACATACCCCAAAATGTAGTTTGTAACATAATCCATTAAATTACTTAAAGTGAGTAACGTAATCTGAATACTTTGGATTACTTGATTTTCTGTAGAGAAGCAAAGACTCGGATATCGTAACATAAGATGTTTTTTCATCTAAAAGAAAATAAAAAGCCCAGACTTTACTTAACCGTATTAAAAATATTATTGATAGAAGAGGAGGAGACACGGTCCGCACGGCAAGGTTTAGTCCTGTTAAATCCTGTTTTAGTCTTGGTTTAGATCTAGTTTAGACCTGGTTTTAGTTCTGGTTTAGATCTGGTTTAGACCTGGTTTTAACCCTGGCTTAGATCTAGTTTAGACCTGGTTTAGATCTAGTTTAGACCTGGTTTAGATCTAGTTTAGACCTGGTTTTAGTCCTGGTTTAGATCTAGTTTAAACCTGATTTAGATCTGGTTTAGACCTGGTTTTAGTCCTGGGTTCAGTCCCGGTTCAGTCCTGAATTATTCCTGGTTTAGACTTGGTTAAAAAAAAAAAAAAAAAAAAAAGAGAAAGGGATATAGCCCAAAATGTGAAAACAGGAAAATACCACCGTGTAATCTCATTTATTTCAACAAAGTAACTGTAATCCAATTACCACTCATGGAAACAGTAACTGTAACTGAATACAGTTACTCATAATTTGTACTCTGATTACGTAACTCTGGTACATGTAATCTGTTACTCCCCAACACTGGTTATTGTTCATTTATAACTGTTTAATTGGTAAAACTCACTCACACAAAGCTCATTACTGCACATCCACAGCTCCAGATGCACACTGTGCTCCAGGAGATACATAACCCTGGTCGTTCCTAAAGCCGCACAGCTTTGGGCCGCTCCTCATTTCAGTTCTGCAGCAAATGACTGGAACCACCTTGAACAGACTTTCAAACTTAGTTCATTTTTATCTCTATCGACATTTAAAAACTCCATCCAGTGCATTTTACAGGATCATTGCACAGGCTTTCACATCACTTTTATATCTTTAATCTGCAAATGTTTCACTGGCTCATGTTTCTATTCACTGTTTCATGTCATGATTGATGTGTGAGTGTGTTCTGTTTGTGCTGTTTTATTCTGCCTCTTAACCAGGTCGTCCTTGCAAATGAGAAGTTGTTCTCAATTGACTTACCTGGTTAAATATTGAATAAATAAAAACTATTTGTTATAACATATTTCAAAATCTTGTCATGGACCTGATCTCGTGTTGTGTCTCGTCTCGTGAAAATTGATATACTGATATACATTTTTAACTTCATGCGAGTTTATTTAAATTATCATAATCATTAGAGATGTGCAAAAATACTGACAAGTCAATATATCATATCGTTTAATGTGATGACACAGTATCGATATATCGCCAAGAGAATTTTTAAGTATATTTTACTAAATTATTTTGTGTAAGAGCTACAGTTGTGTTGACATTTTCACTGTTTTGAGTAAAATGGGTTTTCATATTAACTTTCCTCAGACTCAGTAGACTTTGTTTTTCACTGAACCGTATCGAATCAGTTTGAAATATATCACATCGAATCATATTGAATCAATCATACAATCAATCTTGGCCTACGTATCGAGGTATGTATCGTATCAGCAAATTCTTAACGATCCCCAGCCCTAATAAACATGTTCCCTACTATATTATGATTTGGTAAAATAGTTGAAATAGTTTAAAATATGACTCAATTGTTTGATTTAAATATTATAAATCCTTGTCTTTTATTGCACACTTCACCAGTAAAACACAATTTCTCTTTTAAATTACAATCTTACATTTTACAGATCTAACAAAAGTATATCACAAAACACATACTGGTTCACTGAAAATGTTAAACAGTGTATCATTATTAGATGATTTACATATTTAAAGCATATTTATAATTATAAGTTAACTTGTTACTAATTTCTACAGGTGAACATTTAAAAACAAAACAAAAAATCTGATCAAATCCAACTTTATACTCTATATACTCTTTCTTTTCACGTTCACTAGCCATTTGTCACTGTCAGCCAATCACAGCCCATCTCTTTCCCCTCTCGACCAATCACGTTCGAGCTCCGTTCTCTCTTTCCTCTGCTCTGTCTCCACCGCAGCAGCAGAACTAGCAGCCTCCTCGTCTTCTCCATCCACCAGAGTCTATAGGCCTTTTATAGGAGACATTTTCACAGACAAACCTCTACATACTGAGTTGAAGTGCCACAGTTTAACTCAAAACACTGTTCTCTCTCACAACATTCTTTCTGAAATAAATATACAAATAGAAAATTCACAAATAACTTATTTTATCAGGGACAAATACTGCAGCCATGTTAATGTTAAAAATTGTTACGTAAAATTGACTTTTATGAGCTTTAAGTCGTGTTATAATGTTGTTCCCTCCTCAAAATCAGACCTGGAGTTGTGTTTGTTTCATTCACATGTTTGAGTAAATCTATTTTCAGTCTGTCTATAGTCGGGGAGCCAAAGTCTCAAAAATGGGTTGAACATGACATGGTCTGCCATACATTTTCTTTGTGTTTTTTTTGTTGTTTTTTTTAATGTGACCCTAAGGACCAATAACTGAAGGGTCTGCTCTTTGGGAAATATCGCGAAAAAAAAATTGTGGTCACTTTGTGCACGTGACTTTCATTTTTTGATAGAAAATTTTGAAAAATGAAAATTTCCTGAAATCCTCACTGGGTTGGGTAAGCTGTCAATAAATGCATTCCAGATGCAAAGAACACATGTGGTGACAACATTCAGTGAAAAAATAATTCCTGAAACACTTTTCTACATGATTTTGGCTCAATTTAATGCAAAAAAAAAAAAAAAAAAAAAGGGCTTTTTTTCATTTTTTTTCCAATATTTTCATCTTTACCTCACTGGCAATCAACTATTCACCCAAGTTATGACATAAGCCAATATGTCATTCCTTTCTCCAAACAGTAAACTCATTTCACAGAAAAGAATATAAAAATCCAACCAAAATCAATGGACCTGTGATGATTTTATGACTAGTTGGCCGTCAACAGGCCCGGAACCTCAATAGAACGTTAGGATACTCTCAACATTTTGAAATCATCACACAGGAAGAGCTGACTGCCAATGAGGTAAAGATGAAAATCATGTAGAAATGTGTTTCAGGAATGATTTTTTTGTTGTTGTTTGTCTTTTGGACGTATGCGCCCTCAACTTTATGTTGCAGTATCCTGGTTACTATCAGAATATAGCAGCCACATGCACACCAGTATCCCAGTTATGATCAAGTTTTTGGAGTATCCCAGTTTCTTCATGGTGCATGTATTCACGGTATCCCAGTTTCAGTATCCAGGTTATGGCAGTATCCAGGTTATTAGAAACCGGGTTATTGTAGCTGTTTTATTCCAGTAGTAACCGGGATACTGCGGCATGTAGACGTTGTATCCCGAATACTGCAACATAAAGTTGAGTGCACATGCGTCCAAAAGACAAACACTTTCCAGTCTTTTCACCACAACAGATAAATAAAATGACCAACATAAACAAAATGGCCATACATGAGTGAAATGACTGTAAAATAAAGAGCAGCGCTAAACCTGCACACGTACAATCTGCACTCGTACGACCTGCATGCATATGATCACTGAAAAGCTATAACATGAACTATCTCCTATATGATACACGCAGAACAGACTCACCATCATTAGCACCTCTTCTGTCACAAAAAGAACACACATAATTATTCAATTGATTTAAGTTCATTTGTGCACTTGCACATTTGTAAGATTATGTCAAGAAACCACGATACTCCATTTGCTCATGTACACAGGGATCTGAGTGTCCTGGTTTCTCAGTGCGCATGTAAACACAGTATCCCGAATACTGACAGAACCGGGATATGGATAATAACCAGGATACTGATGTGCATGTGAACACACTCAGTATCCTGGTTTCTATTAACCAGGATACTGCCATAACCAGGATACAGAAACCGGGATACTGCACCATGAAGAAACCGGGATATTCAAAAAACCCGATCATAACCGGGAAACTGATGTGCATGTATACACACTCATCGACAACAAACTCCACCTGACAATTCTGACCTGTCTCCAGCTCAGATTAAAGAGGGGGTATTATACAAATCGTCTTTTTGGAGCTTTCTTCCATGTTATGACAAAACATAACAAGCCTAATGTGGGTTTAGATTCATCCTCGCATGTTTGAGTAATATTATGATCTCTTCTGGGCCCTATTTGAACTTTCCTTACAGTTAGTAGTACGATCTTGTACAAGACTCCGCCCACAAGCCTACGTCACCCATGCTCCCATGTGGCAATTCTCCATAAATATAAAACATGACACAAAACTTCACAAACCTGACGTGATGTGCAGTAGTTTCATTAGAGGGATGCAGCGCTCTGAAGGGGGAGTGACTTAACAGAGCGAGCAAAGGAAGGGGGTGGACGAAACTGAACAATACCCCCTCTTTAATGCTTTACACAGATCTACTGCAGATTGTCGGAGGCGGCGTCCTTGACTCCGGCCGCGATCACGGCGAAGAAGATGTTTGGGAAAAAGGATCTGGCGTAGACGGCCATTTTGGGGAGAGACGGCACCATCAGCACCTCTCTTTTTCTGTTGTTCAGCGTCTTCACGATCTCAGTGGCAGCTTCGTCCACGGTGACCCCCAGTGGCTTCCTGGAGTACAGCCCTGGAGACAAACGGATCTGATTATAAAGGCACGGAAACAGCAGCCACATCTGCGTGATTCAGCCACAGGGCAGCTCAGGGGACAATGTAATTTAGTTTATTCTGCTGTTCATCCAAACACACCACAATCTGTTTGAAGTATATTAACAAATATGATTATTATTACTGTATTTTTTGGACTATAAATTGCACTTTTTCATGGTTTGGGTGTTTCCTGTGACTTATAGGCGAGTTTCATTGTTGACAAAAGCGCGCGTTGCATGCTGGGAATTATTTTGGTCGGCGGCAAGAAACATTCAACATGACGGACGGAGCGAGAAAGCACGTAAAGGGTATTGATCCTGGTTATTTATCCACTCTAACAGCAGAGGACCCAAGACCATTTGACCAGACCAAAACCCTTTTAAACCAAATTTCTGGTCTGAATCACCAACTACCTGGACAAATATTCACTTTCGGTGATATCCACAATGACTTGGTGGAAACTCCTGGGCCATTCACAGCAGAAAAGATGAAAACCTCCAAGAGTCTCGATGTGTTGTTGAACTTGTTGGAGTCCACGGTTTGTTAGGATCTTCTACGTTTGCTCTGCGGATGTTTGAAAGCCGTTTAATTCACTGTTGTTTCTTTTCACTCAGAATACGAAAAAGACATTTTCCTTCTTCCGTGCTTCTATTTGTGCATCCGATAATGCAGCAGGAATTTACCATTATCGGGGATAAATAAGTTATGCACTGTGTTTGACGCTATCCTGTTTCTTGCCTCCGACCAAAATATTTCCCAGCATGCAACGCGGGCTTTTAATAACAATGACGTCAGCTGAAACTCGCCTATATTTCGGTGCGAATTATATATTACCAGTGTTGGGAAGGTTATTTTAAAATGTATTCCCCTACATATTACAGACCCCAAAATGTAGTTTGTAATGTAATCCATTACATTTCTTAAAGTGAGTAACGTAATTTGAATACTTTGGATTACTTGATATTGTCCTGCTTTTTAAAATTACATGAATGTAACAACCACATCCTGAAAATTCATGTTTGTTCTCTTCAAATTGGCTGAGCCCAAGACTTCATGAACAGGCTTTTGTTTGTTGCAGAGAAGCAAAGAAAATAAAAAGCCCAGTCTTTCCTCAACCAAATAAAAAATATTATTGATAGAGAAATGATTTTTATATGAGAAATTAGAAATTTATATGAGTATATCCACCCTACTGTTAGGTCTCATACTGGTTTAGACCTGGTTTTACTCCTGGTTTAGTTCTGGTTTAGTCCTGGTTTAGTCTGGTTTAGTCCTGGTTTAGCCCAAAATGTGAAAACAGGAAAATACCTTCATGTAATCCATTTATTTAAACAAAGTAACTGTAAACCAATTACCACTCACTGAAACAGTAACTGTAACTGAATACAGTTACTCATAATTTGTACTCTGATTATGTAACACCAGTACATGTAATCTGTTACTCCCCAACACTGTATATTAAAATGTTGACAGTGAAGCGGTGAGAGGTTCTAGTCTTGTGTGTGAGTATCTGCTGCTCCTGTTCCTCCTGTACCACTGTCACTTCACTCTACTGCACATGTCTCCTGCAGAAAGAGCCTCTGTTCTGTCTGTATCATGTCAGTCGATCAAACCATTACTTCTGTAACACTGAACTATTTAACATTTAAACAAACTCATAAAGACGACTGAGAAACTGAACACAAATGCCCCCAAAAACAAAATCAGATTTTGCAGATTACAAACTATAAGTTGTGAAACATGCAGCCAAAAACAATAATTGAGTAGCAGAAAGAAAATTTGGAGTGAAAGAGAAACACCGGGAGGATGCACCATGAAACTTTCCTGAAGTCAGTGGATGGATGGACAAAGTCTGGACTTCAGTGACACTGAAACCATCCTGTCGGGATTCAGAAAGACCAGAATAATTCTAACTGATGCTGAGTCTGACGACAGCGACACAGAAGAGTTTGCGTCGCTCTGTTTACCTCCAGAGGTCAAGGCAGAGTTGCTCAGAAGTGACACCGAGGATGAAGAATTGAATGGATTTAGTGATTTGGAGTGAGATGGAGAGTTTGGTAAACTTGTTCTGTTCTGTTGTTTATGTTATAGTTTATCTGAAGAACTGTTCATATGTGACGTTAACAGTCTGTTGTTCTCTCTTCTATTGTTATTACTACAACTTGACTTTCAACAGGAAATGTCGAGTAAATTTCCCTCAGAAATTGCGACTTATATATGTTTTTCTTCGTCATTATGCATTTTTCGGCTTGTGTGACTTATACTCCAGAGCCACTTACAATCTGAAAAATACAGTATTACTAGGTCCTACTAATAAAACTGCAAAAAGTTGATGTTCCCAATTAGAAAGTAACATAAAGATTACTGGTGACCATTCAATCAGGCAGAGGCATTTTGGGTTTAAACCAACTGGATTTTAGTACTGAAACTGGCAACAAATACGTGAGAGTCATGTGATGCTCATTCTGCTTTTACCTTGAACCACAACAGCAAATTATAACAAACAACTTCAGGTCCATCAGGTGCAATGTTTTATTCATGAAGATTAAATCAGCATTAGAATAGTTCGAGGCTGTACTCACAGGACCACAGGGGGCGCTCTTGCTCTGGTGTGGCGTTGGGGCTGATGAAGGTGTGGTTGATGGAGCTCACAGTGATGCCGTATTCCTCCACCTCGGCCCTGACGCAGTCGAAGAACGCCTGCACCGCGTGTTTCGACGCCGCGTCTGGAAACAGGTCAGATGAGTATTATTTATGTTCTCACTGCAGCTACATCTGATTTCTGGACCTTGAACGTGATTGAAATGCTGCTGAGTGTAATGTGAGTCATTAAAGGGACCATGGTTTTGGTTTTGGTTCTAATTATTACACTTTCGCTGTCACTGAATCTTTGAATCTCTGAAACATTTGGAGTGTGACCACAGCTGGTGTGTGTGTGGGCGGGTAGTTATCTCATAGTGGGGACTCAAATCTGTCCATGACGTCAAACCTTATTATTCTTAGATCCACAGTTTAAAGCTCAGATGTGGGTTAAAAGAGGTTTAGGATCTAAATGTGAGTTTAGTGCAGACTCACAGGTGGAGCGGAAGGGCACCGGGAGCTTGGCCTGGATGCTGTTGATGAGCAGAATGTGTCCGGTTCTTCTGGAGATCATGGTCGGGAGCACGGCTGTGGACACAAAACACAGGACAGAGTTAAACAAACACACATGTAAAAGTGTTAAAGCAGCAGCTCCACACACAAAGGACATTAAACTGTGAACTTTCTTGCTGTGAAGCTCAAGTGCCTCTCAGTCATATTATAAGAGGCTCATGTACCTTTGGTCAGAGTGACGGGGCCAAAGTAGTTGTTGTCCATGAGCAGTTTGTCCATCTCCAGAGACACGCTGTGAGCTGGAGCCTTCACCTGAGCAGCAGCAGCAGCACATTTAATGTAAGAAAAGTCCTTCACACTCTGAGACATGAAGCACACACTGAGGCTGGACCTTGATGGAGCTGTTGAGGATCAGAATGTCCAAACAGCCGTAACACTCCAGGATCTCCTCCACGGCCTCAGGAAGAGAGTCCATGTCCCCGAAGTCCAGAAGAACCAACTTCACCGGGAACGTCTGCGGAGAGGAGGGACACATGTGAAGAGGAGGTCCACAGCTCACAGGTATTACTGCAGCATTTAAACTATAGTGTAATGATTTTTAAAGACAGTGTCTGTCTCACCACGGCAGGGTCTGAGTTACGGCTCAGTTCTTCAGACAACTCCTCCAGTTGGTCCCAGTCTCTCCCACAGAGCACCAGACGAGCTCCACCGCGGTGGAACAGACCTGCACACTCTGGAGATCAGAAGAGCTTAGGGTTAGTCTAAAATGTCTAAAATGTCCCGGCATTTGACCCATACTTTAATACCAACGGGGAACCTGTCAGGGTCTTGGTCAGGTTTTATATAGATGAGGGAAACAGAAGTGTCAAGAGGAAACCCCCAGACACAAGAAAAACATACAAACTCCACACAGAAAGGCCTGGTCTAGGGTCTGGTCTAGGGTCTGGTCTAGAGTCTGGTCTAGGGTCTGGTCTAGAGTCTGGTCTAGAGTCTGGTCTAGGGTCTGGTCTAGAGTCTGGTCTAGAGTCTGGTCTAGGGTCTGGTCTAGAGTCTGGTCTAGGTCCAGCTTCTTACCCCCTCCCTCCTCCTGCCCAAACAGCAGAGCTCTGGTCCGGTGTTGTTCTCTCACCTTTCCCCAGACCTGTGAGCGCATCACTCAGCAGAACCACCTTGTTCCTCACAGATGTTTTGGAGAGCAGCCCCAGGACCAGGCCGTACAGGTAGAAGAACCCCGCCGTGAGGACCACCACAGCGGGCACCAACAGCACCGTGGTGCTCCACAACCACTCCATCCTTGGAAACAAAGTCTGGAGAGAGGAGATGTAGAGATAAACATCATCATAATAACACTAGTGTTTAGTGTTGGACTCATGAGTCACTCTGCACACTGCAGCCACAGCTGCCCTGGGGCACACTGATGGAAACTGTCACTTCTAATCAGAACTCACCTGCACTAAAAGATGAATTCTCAGGATATTTGTGACTTCACAAACACAAGAATCCCAAACTAAAGCTAACACTGTGCTGGTGATTCCTGACGCTCTGACTCTATCCTCAAGTGAACCTTCTGTCTTTAACCAGTCACAGACTGATCAGAGTGTCTCCATGGAGACACACCTGTCACCAGTCTGTCTCCTGCAGGTCAAATCTGCACCTGTCACCCTCACCAACCTTCCAGTCTTCCAGTCCAAAGAACTGACTCAGAGCAGAACGTCCAGACTTCTGATCATAGAAGGAGTCACAGCAGAGAGTTTGAGATGAAGACCTCAACATGCAGCAGAAATACTCAAACCCTCAAACATGGATTCAACTTCAGAACTCCAGGTTTGGTTTAAATGAGGAAACGACCTGAAGTCATGTTAAGGCCATAGAGCAGAACTGTCTATGTTCAGAATGATGAAGGATCAGTGTTTTACAGCTACACAGTAACAGGAGGGCTGACGTTAGTCAAACAACTTAAAGTGGAATATAACTATGGCTGATTTGAGCTTAAACAGTGTTAGATTTGTCAAATCAGCCATCACATATTCCCATTTGAAGTGTGTTGTTTTTACAGCATACATGAGTTGGATGGACGATGATCACATGTGTTTTTACCCAGCTTTGTGGCTCTGTCACATTGGACTCCATCTTTACTTTTGTAACTAACTTTTTCACAATTCTGCAACGAGAACAGAAATGTCAATTGGAATAAATTGAAACAATTTCAAACGTCCAAACTATTACAACAACTTAGTGGAATTGGCACACAAAGATTAAAGACCCTGTACCTGATTATTACTGATTTAAAATCATGAAGAGAACTAAGTTTATTTGAAACAGTTTCCAAAGTTATTCTCCACTTTACCTTTTGTATTCAGAGCATCCGAGTTATTCACCGTGACTTCATCAGCTAAAGTCAACATTTCCTGATTCTAAGACAATAAAACACTTTATAATTAGGTGCAGACTTTTGACCTTTGACCTTAATATATCTTTACTGGGGCAACACACATTTACTCAGATACATACAGAGAATGAAACTTTTCTTGGATGCAGGAATTACATTTTCCAGCAGAGACACCAGCATCTGTTAGAGTCTGAAAATAAGATCTGATTTCTCTTTTATTTGTGTTCAGTTGTAAACGTGTGTAAACAGTGGCACTGACACCGTCTCATCTGTCTTTGTCCCTGCAGCTGTCCAGAGCTGTATTTTTAGACGCTCTCGTGAACAAACTTCTCTCAGGTCCTTGAATGTCACACCGGACCGAACAGCTGCGGGGCCACGGTGCGTTCACTTTCAAACAGAGAACGCAAAACTGACTGACCAGCTAACACGGAATTCAAAAGGTGGATCCGATTTATTGTATTTTAGTCATTTAGGAGTGTGTAGGATTTGGGAATATTTTTTAAAACCACAGTATGTCACTTTTTTGCTAAAACAAAATAAAAGCCAAAGTAGACGTTAAAGCAGCACTATGTCACTTTTGGCGGTGGGTCTGTCATTAAATGTATCTGTCTCCACGGAAACAAGCAGGAGATGCCACTAAATCACGTTACATGTCAGATCTGTGGAGAGGCGAGCCATTCAAAAGCACAAATCCAGTGTTTTTATGCTACTTCGGTTGAACTAAAACCCGTGTAAGTGAATGAATGTAAGATAGAAGTTTAATGCTGTACTGTGGAAAATTCCAGGCAAAACAATAACGTCGCCACGGAGACAAGATGGTGACAGACCCTACTCCTGAAAAGTTACATAGTGTGGCTTTAAATATTCTAAATTCTGGTCATTTTTTAAAAACTTTTTTTGCAGACGTACCTGAACAGTTTTCTGAAATCCCGGTTTAAGTCCTGGGTTTAATCCTGGTTCTGGACCTTCTGGACCTGATTTAGTCCATGTGTCTCAATCTGGACAAATCCAGGTTTAGTACTGGTTTTAGTCTTGGATTTTAGTCCTTAGTCCTACTTTAGTCTCTAGTCCTGGTCTAGTCGTGATCTAGTCCTGGTCTAGTCCTGGTCTAGTCCAGTCCCAGTCCTACTCCAGGTCCTTCGGTTCTTAGTCCTGGTTTGGCTTGAGTCCAGTATTTGGTCTTTGTCCTGTGGTCTCAAACTGGTCTCTGGTCCTGGTCTAGTCCTGGTCTGGTTTAAAAATAGAGCACAGCTGAGGAGAGAGAGAGAGAAGGTCACGTGACATCAACATTCTAAACTGCCCAGAGTTTAAAGCAGCACTCTGTAACTTTTCTGCCATCTGCTTGTCTCCATAGATACGTTATTGCTTTGCCTGGAATGTCCCACAGTATGGCTTTAAACTTTTCTAGTTCCACAGAGACAACACACCGAAGGACTAAGTCTATTTTTTTTCCATCCCAATAACAATGAGACTGAATGAATGCAAGATAGATGAGTTTAATGCCATACTGTGGAACATTTCAGGCAAAACAATAACATCTTTATGGAGAGAAAAGTTGCACATTGCATCTTTAACACTGAGATGAAGACAGGTCAGACTTCTTAGACTTAGGAGTATTATCTGTTACATAAGCATATGTTGTTGTACAGTTGTAGGGAGTATTATCTGTTACATAAGCATATGTTGTTGTACAGTTGTAGGGAGTATTATCCGTTACATAAAGGTGAGTTATTGTGCTCTTGTAAGGAGTATTATATGTTACATAAGGGTGAGTTGTACAGTTGTAGGGAGTATTATCTGTTGTATAAGGATGAGTTGTTGTACAGTTGTAGGGAGTATTATCTGTTACATAAGGGTGAGTTGTCGTACAGTTGTAGGGAGTATTATCTGTTACATAAAAACTGAGTTGTTATACAGTTGTAGGGAGTATTATCTGGTACATAAGGGTGAGTTGTTGTACAGTTGTAGGGAGTATTACCTGGTACATAAGGGTGAGTTGTTGTACAGTTGTAGGGAGTATTATCTGGTACATAAGGGTGAGTTGTTGTACAGTTGTAGGGAGTATTATCTGGTACATAAGGGTGAGTTGTTTTACAGTTGTAGGGAGTATTATCTGGTACATAAGGGTGAGTTGTTTTACAGTTGTAGGGAGTATTATCTGGTACATAAGGGTGAGTTGTTGTACAGTTGTAGGGAGTATTATCTGGTACATAAGGGTGAGTTGTTGTACAGTTGTAGGGAGTATTATCTGGTACATAAGGGTGAGTTGTTGTACAGTTGTAGGGAGTATTATCTGGTACATAAGGGTGAGTTGTTGTACAGTTGTAGGGAGTATTATCTGGTACATGTAGTTGTAGGAGTATTAGTACATAAGGGTGAGTTGTACAGTTGTAGGAGTATTATCTGTTACATAAAGCTGAGTTGTTGTACAGTTGTAGGGAGTATTATCTGGTACATAAGGGTGAGTTGTTGTACAGTTGTAGGGAGTATTATCTGAAATGAAATCTGGAAATGAAATGAAAACTGGGCCATTTTCTCTGTTTTTCTAGATTTTGTCAGACATACTACCGCAAACAGAGCCCAAAGGAAGTCGTCATCTCATGTTTCCAAACGTCTTCCTGGTTTGTGCCGTAAGCGTGAATAGAGACTAAAGGGCTCAGGAGAGATCACTAATTTACTGAAACATGCGTGGATGACATTCAAAACCTCTTCAGGCATGTTTTCATTAACGTTATAACATAGAAGACAGTTGTATTCCAGTAGATTTATTTAAACCACAAAACTTTCTTCATTGAATGTCCATGACGTCACCTTTTAAGGAATAAATGATCAAATTAAAGCCGTTCGTGGTGATGTTGGCCCTTGCTGCGGTGCACGCCCCCCTCCATGCCTCCCCTGAAGACTTGTGACCATCCTCTCTTCCCGACAGCTGCCCAGATCGACAACTCGTCCACTAGAAAAAATGACATAATGCACCTTTAAATGTTTCTTAGGAGTCTTTGTGCCCCTGCTGGCCAACTGTGAAAAAATACCCCATGTCCGTATTATCATTTTGTGCTTGTAATCAGGCATAGAATATAAACCCCAATTTTGGTACAAATCTGATAATGTTGATGTTTCATGTGTATGGTTTTAGTTTAGTTTATTGTACTTATTTAGTGTCATGCACCATTTAATTGGTGCCCAGCTTGCCTGGGCTTATAAGACACATAAAACAAGAAGCAGACAGATCACACATCAAACATAAAGTGTCCACTTACGGAGGTCCCAGGCTTTCAACACAAACTGAGCCAACTTAAAAACATTACATTTAAACAAATCCTTCAGTCTCTCCTCATCAGACACAACAAACCAACAGTGAGACACATTAAACACAACTGACAGAGCAGCTCATGATACAAAGGACAGTAAAACAGAAAATGCATTTGATTTTCAAAGTCCTTTAAGTGGCACAGTCACATGTGCTCCTCCTCTGGGACAGAGTGGAATCGTCCCGTCTCCAAGGCCAGAGGCAGAGTCCCACACCTCAACTGGGCACATACTGACCTCTGACCTCTGCTCAGGTTCAGGGTGACATATGGTTCAGGTCCAAAACAGTATAATTAAGATATATGTTCTTAATTTTGGTTACATAAAATTTCATTGTGCCACTTTTGTTTATGCTTATCAAAATAAATGTTCCTCACTTGTCTGACGCTACAGATGAACTTATTTCTGTAAATAAACTGGAGATCTGCAATTTCAAAAATGTTCTCCATCTCTCTACTCCAGGACGATTTATGTAACAGACTCCAGTTAAATACATGTTTGGTTCATCTTGTGTCTGGCATTAATCAACCTGTTCCATAACCGCACCATGTCACAAATGTGTCTCACTTCACATGGTTCCAGCCCAGATCTCCA